TAATTGAATTAATTTCTAATACCTCTGTCTGGATGTAGTTTTTGAAGGGCGATTTTGATTTATTATGTTTCCGTGTGGAGTACCTTATCTTGATCATAAGTGCGAGTCATTCCACAATTGTAAGTCGGGTTTTTTATATTATGAAACTCATTGTTCAAAACTAATTCGTATAATAAAACCTGTAGATTAGTGAATTACTTCTTAGGACTTCTTTCTCTAAAATCTCTTAACACCTTTCGTGCTTTCAGGAGCGGCAGCGTTTCAAAAGTGCGCATCAAAATGAAATGGACAAGAAAAGGAAGGAGCTAGAGGAAGGAGAGAAGAAGCTGAGGAAGCAAGTGTTGGTGGGTTCTTTTTACTTTGCAACGTTTGCTGTTACTATGGAGATTTTTTGAGGTGTAAGGAAGATGCTTTTGCACGGAAATTAACCAGTTTTACAAGATTTGGTGCTTTGTAGATGGTTTTTGCGCTTAATATTGATGATTTGGTACACAGTGCCACATTAGTCAGGCATACACTCACAAGCAGCATAAGAGCAAGAAGATCTGCAATTAGCAAAATCTTTGCCTTAACGTACGATATGGGATTTCAATTAAATGCCAATCTCAGGGAACTGCTTTATGTTATCATCGGGATCATCGTATTGTTTTGGGGAACTTTGAAGTATATTCAGTCTGTTCCCCTTAGATTGCCGATGGCTATTCTGTTCGCAACCGTACAAACACACTGGTAGTTTTACTCCATTAGCTTAATGAAAAAAAGAAGCATAGAGAGAATAAAATAAATAAAGTTGTACCAATTGGCTTTGCATTGGAGACAATCCAGCATGCAGCGCTGCGTTTGTTTTGGCTGCGGATAACAGCGGTCGCGGATCAGGTTCAAAGGAACGACTATGGATGAGAAGCTGAAATCTTTCAATCTTTATTAGAGTTATGTCTATATACTTTCGATTTATCAGCTAGATCCAAAATTGTAAGTTGTTTTTGAGTGAGGACATCGTCTATCACTTCTACACTCACCACCCGCAAAATCTTTGAAGTTTACCCACCGCAGCGAAATGCGCATAGTATTTAACGATTATATTGTAGCAGCGTAAAATACAATACAGTCGACTGACGTCTGAATTGCACCAATCCAAAGTGTAGCTGGCTGTGTGCTAAATTCACATCAGTTTCCCGGGCAGAAGTTTAGCGCAGTAATTCAAGAACTTATGAGGAGCCAAATTCGGTAGGACGTGCGTCGAATGAAAGGAACGCACGTTTGGAGAGTTTATTGTATGCGTGCTTTATCCTATTATTGTAGGCAGTGGTATGGGGCTACTTTAAGTAAATGATTACTTCTAAGCAAAAGCTTTTCGGGGAAAGACGTACGCCCACCCAGATTTAAACAACTAGAATGGATTAACTGCAGATTTTTGAAACTTTCTAGTCGAACTTTAAAAATGAGCTTAGTAGCTTGTTCCTCTATGTTTTTAATAAATAGGGCAATAAAAAAGTAAGTTCTCCTATTAATCTCGGCCTCAAGGGAATCATCATTTGTTCTCTCTATGTTAGCAGTTAGTGACAATTGGACAGAGCTGCGCCATAGATCGTCTCTCACTTTCATTATCTGTCGGTACCTTACTTTGCAATGTCTCTTACACCTTGTGCTGTCGTTGCCTTGCGGTAATACTGCAAAGTTGGAAAGCTCCAATGTGGCAGAATTTTACGTATTACATATTACTATCAAATCTAAGTTTTTTCAGACTCGCCAGGCTCATGAGATGCGCTGCTTTTCGAACTCGCAGCTCAAGGAGTATCGCCACAACAAGGATTTAGCCAAAAGTGTAGGTTCTAAAAGAGAATCTATATTTCAAATGCGTATCATCTATGTAACTTGGGACTTGTTGGGAACACTTTAAAGTATTTGTAATTTAGAGTCTGAAGGAGAGTGGTTTGTCGAGATCTGCTTACGAGGCGGCCCTCAAAGACGTAAAAGCCAAGCTCACAAGACAGAGAACGGCTGCAGAGGCTGCATTCGAAGCAAAGCTTCGAGCCGAGTTAGAAACAGAACTCGCGAAATATCGACGATCACAGCTTCTTATGATGCATAGCATTGAAAGGCGTTTAGATGAGGAAGTGAGTTGTTAGTTGCGATATATTTAGCCGGAGTCTTAGCTTGCATATTTAAACTATAAATTGCATAAGACTTCTATTCAGTGATTTGTTTTAAATGTTTAGATGAATTGTGTACCCTCCTATTAGAAGAGGTAGTATCTGAATTTTAAAGGATCTGAATGTATTGGAACGTCAAATGGATAATCGACATGCGATGATGCTTCGTCATCACGAGGCTACGAAGGATATCGAATTAACTCAGCTCAAGGAAATCCAAACAATGAGAAAGCGTCATCAGGTTTGTGGATATTAGCACTTCTTTCGCGCCCTCCTACTGAGTTGATGTGTAATTTTCCGCCATGTTTTTTCTTACTGATTTTTTTTTCTCATGAACTCTGGTCACCAACTTTTTTCTATTATTAGCCTATCTTTACTTGCTAAGGGCATGTGCCAAAAATCTCTATTCCTTGTGATTACGTCATTTTTCTGCTCTCAGAGGAAAGCGGCACATATGCATTATTTCTATAAGTTTTGTAGCGATGAAACTATGAAGCTGAAAAGTGTGGATATTGGTTCGAATTACAGTTGACGCATAGTCGGAGCAGTGTTCAAAGTTTCACGTCCTTCTGATAAGCGATGCTAACCTTCCTTTCGGTTTTCTTTATAAGGGGTATGTAGTGCAGCACTTAGCAGTTTCACTTAAATAAAACATATACTATCTTGACGTGGTCCGGATTGGCGCAATAGCGCAACATTCGGAGTTTGAAGCTTTTGCAATTGCTCAGCGGCTGTTTTTGAAGTACAGTCGTCAGTGTCTTCCGGCTATGTTCCAGCTTGTGATATTGGATTTGAAAACAGCAAACTGTCCTATTTTGTATATGTTGCTCTAAACCACTGTTGAAGCTACTTTATGAATGCGTAGTCTTTTTCTTCCTTGAGCAGGAATACATAATGTGATACACATGAATAGGAGTTCTCTGAAAAGTACCTTTGACAGTCAAAAAAGTAGAATATTTGGAGGAAAAGTTAATAAAAATGCCGCTTTTTCTGGAAAATTTAGCGAATATGGCAGATTATCATACACCATTCTATGACAAACTATTTATACCTCTTGATTTCACTAATCAATGCTAATTAATAGATCATTCAACATGATGCGGAGTCCTCTAATCAAACTGAATATACAAGAAGGAAAACGGATGATCTACGAAAACGACATGCTATTCAAAGCAGACAGCAACCAAGGGAACTCAAGGTTGCCAGCTTATTTCTAGAATAGGTTTTAAATATTCGTTAGCAACACAAATGATATCGCTTACACGCTAATCAATTCTCCTACTACCTTAATTTGCAGCTGAAAGAAGCACAGATACGCAAGCAGTTTCGTCAAGCTGTTAAGACGCAAACGCGGCAGTTTAAATTGTACCAAACCCAGCTGATGCAGGCAGCACCAAAGGAAGAACACAAGGAGATTGCAACGCAGTTGAAGGAGGTCAGTAAGCATCAATTCTGGCGCGAACTATTGACGAGAATTTTAGAAGCAAAAACACCGCATCGCTTTGTTGACTTCTCAGTACGAATACCAGATTGAGAGTATGGTGCATGAAAAGACGGTATGTTTTTGCTCAAATTTATCATGCTTATTGTCAAGAACCAATAATTTGCAGGGAAAGCTAGAATCCTGGCAAGAAGAAGAAGCTCGTCAGTTGAACGAACGACTCGCTAAGGAACTTGATCAGCTCAAAGAATATCAAGCAAAGCAGCGAATACAACTTGAGAATACGATAGATAAGGTGCGTATCACCGTCATGCTAGCCTTTATGAACTTATAACTAGGCACTCATAGAGTAGCGTTCTTTACACAATTTTTTACAAATCTTACTGGTTATTCAGTTGCAAATTGACTATTTATGAAACTGTTAAGTATTACTATTACTTATGAGCCTTAACTTCAATGTCATACTTTTAAAGGACACTGTAAGTTTTAATTTATATCGGACATCATTATCTCATTTTTACCGATCAGTGTGAGCATCCTTCTCCAAACACTCTATGCTAGACTGCGTTCTGTTCATTGTTTTGTTTATAACCTAATAAGCGCTGTTGCCGAATGGTCGAACACAGACATGAGAGTTTAGCCCATGCTGTGATGAAACAAAGAGAATAACAGCAATTTTTAAATCTTAATTTCTTTGTTATCATACTTGAACATCTTGCAGGAACGCACTGCGTTAGATGAGAGGATCTTGTTGCGACGAGCAGTGCTTGAACAGCGATTCAGGGAAGAACGAGATGATATGCAAAGGCAGCGAGAGGCGCGGGATCGTGCTATCACTGAGCGTCATGCTGCAGAAGAAAGGAAGCTAACGGAGTCTTGTGGAAATTCATCTCATACCACGGCGCTGTGATATGTTGGAGGTTTGGAAAGACGTAGTCTTATAATTATTTGCCTTGCTCCACTTGTATCAACCTCTATCTCATTTCTCCTTCATATGTGTTTTTTCGAGCTTATTTACAATCAGTTGAGTTTTTTTTTTAATGAAACGTGAGTTAATTGTAATTGTTAAAGAAGACGCCCCTCTAGTCCAAATCAGCCGTGTTTGCTATTATTACTGTTCTGCAATTACATTACTATTTCTGGTGAAAATAATGATAGGTTCAAATACTGCAGTATCTCTACTAGAAGGAGCTTGACTTGTTGTGAGTGCTGCACAGACCTTTCCTTGATTTTATTAGGTAAGGTCAGATGTAATAGCCCCGTATTTTGTTAAGAGCTTGTAGCTTAATTCTTCTTGACCCCATGTAATATCTAGGAGATGTTTGTGTTGGGTGTTTCTGCAGAGAATCAGCTTTTATTAGCCTTCGCTATTCTTATGGTTTTTTTGTGCATAACTGTGTTGCATCCGCAATCGCTTATCTATCTCAGCTTTGTGATTTCATTGATGCTCATGCCACCAGGATGAGCCACAAAACACTCATGCCTTGGCCTCGAACATTACAAAGTTGGATTTGACAGAATTCAAGCTAAATAATATAAAATTATTAGAATCCACGAGCTGATACCTGAAAACTCATGCGCTTTCTTTTCTTTCACGTGTTTGTTCTCCGTCCTACATTGAATTTTAAATGTGTGTTTCATTTATGTCGCCTCGTTTTCTTCCTCATCGGTTTTTATTACGCTCCTTTAATTGCTCTCAACTGTAGCCTTTT